AAACAACTACCAGCAAACAGGCGCGCAGGCCCGACCAAAATTCCACGGCTAGACTTCCCCGGGGCTACCAGCATCCACGACAAGAGACTCGGGATGAGGCACGACCTAACCGTCAATGATCTGGGACATGAAGCCCACCCCCTCGGTATTCAGGCCCGGATTCAATAAAGTGAGCTGGATAACCGCGACCTCAAAACCATCTGACAAGGCGCCAACACAGTCCATTTCGAGGAGATGGATGCGCGCGACCAGATCCGAGCGACTCCGCAAGGGGGCTGTCTCCTCCGACTCATCTTCAGCAGGAAGCATGGCGGCCTTCAGATCCTTGACTTCTTTAACCAGACGCTCTTTGTCGGCCTCCAAGCGTTCCCGGTCCAGTCGAAAATAGTCCCTCTCCTCGGCAACCTTCCCCGAGTTTTCCTTCTCTACAGCCAGCAGCTCGGCATGCTCGCGGAACATCTCCTCAGATTGTTCCAGAGCAACCTTCAACTTACGAGAGCCGGCAACGAGGGAAGCTTTCTCCAGCTCCAGTTCCCTGACGCGGTCAGAGGAGTCCGACCCCTCCTCAGCGAGGACAACAGCCATCTCAGCCATCTTAACCATCCCGACCATACTGGCGGCCAGATGTTTTCTCCGACTTTCCTTGTTTAGCTTCCTGATGGTCTCAGCCTCCTCAGCACTTACTGTCAAGGGAAACCCCTCGAAGAAGCCTTCCTCTTTAAAGCAGGGGGCAAGCCAAAGGGCCTCACCGCGACAGACTCGTCTCCGACTTCCGGCTGGATCTCTACCCGGTTTCTCTTCCTCGTTATCAGCTCACTGGGCTGTTCGACGTCAGGGGAGTCCGGGGACCCACCAGAAGTATCACCCGAACTGGTCGGCGGGCCCATCCTCGTCGCCTGTGGAGCTCGCACCAACCTTCTATTGACTTTCTTATCCTGGGTCAACTTTAAGAGCCTCTCCCTTCGGTCGGACATATTGCCTGCAAAGAAGAAAGCCCGAGTTAGTTACGAGCAAGTAACAAACAAAGAAACTAGAACAAAACTATAAGACAGAAAGCAACCTAGTAGGTCCGCGGCCTGCCCGTAGGACTGGCACTCGACAAGCGCCTTGGTATCTATAGGACGGGCCTCGAAGGTCGGGTAACCTTCCTCGTCAAGAATGTCCTTCCCATCCCTCGTGACCCATCGGGAAGGGAAGAAGCTGTCGACATACTTACAAAGCGTACCGTAGGCTTCCTCATCCTCGGCACTCATCCCTCCCGCAGGCGTATGGTAGTGCCCGGTACCATGCTCGTAATGGCGCGAGCACCAGTGCAACGGGAACTTGGATACACGCCCCAGCACCGGGTGACCCTCGTCGTCCATAAGAGGCTCCCCGTTCTCGTCGGCCACTGCGGTCTCCTCTTCGTACATAGAGTCCAAAGCAGTCTGGGTGACCAGCCGCACGACATACCATTTGTCCTTGAAACCCCAGACCGAATCCATGTACATCCTGAACAGCCTCATCGACTGTTTCAGGGAAACCCAACTATGCCTGCCTCCTCGAGACTGGCGTTGCAAGTGAAAAACTCTGAAGAAGAGAGGAATGGTCGCCCCGATCCTTAAGAAGCGACATGTCAGCTCGAACGCCCGAAGAAAGGCGATCGAATTGGGGTGAAGCTGCGAGGGGGACAATTCTAAATGGCAGAATACCCCAACCTGGAAATCACTAAAGGGGAGCTTAAGGCCGAGGTCCTTGAACGCGATTTCATACATGGGAAAACCATACTCAGAGAACTCCGAACAGATCCGCGCGTCGAGAGACGGCCTTGTAACGACAAAGTTCTTCTGGAAGCCCGGTTGGCTACCGCCATGTTCGATGATAGTGTAGGCGCTCCGACTACGCCGACTATATGCCGAGGCAATCCCTCGGGGCTTGGCGCCCACCTAATCCAGCAAAGGATCATCAACAGTGTCAACTAAGGTTACATTCTCCTCAGCACTCTGGTCCTCGACCTCATTACGCCCCGAGGACTCCGGTTCGTCAGCCATTTACCTGCAAAGCACAGGAAACCGGTGAAATTCGAGAGCAAATCTATATGCTCGCCATAATTGACGGGAAGAAGGGCACGACAAGCCAAGACACACTCCGCGCGCGTTAAAACGTTGAGGACTCGAACAAGATCCTGGTTTCGCCTCCCCGATGCTAAGGTGCCACGACGAGTTGTCCTACATACTTCCTAAACGGGCCAACATCCCGGCCAGTCATGAGTACGCCGACCTAAACTACGAATGTGACGGGCAATATCATGAATCCTAAACCTAGAACTATGGGTTTACCGGGCAGTATCATAGAGTTATGCACCCAAAACCATGAAGGTCTCGGGCAACATCGCGAGTCATATACCTAAAAACATGAATATACCGGGCAAAAACATGAATGTGCCAGGCACAAGCATGAATGTACCGGTCACTAATCCCAGATGTGGGTTTCTGACATCCAAATAACGGAAAAATTACCTACAACGAAGAAAAATAGGAGGGATAGACGCTTACTTGGAAGTTAAGAAGAAGGTACGGCAGCGGTGGAAAAAACCAACAGAGGAAGGAACGGTAATCTTGCGAAGTTGTAGGGAAACTGTGGCGGCAAAGGCAGAGGAAGAAGGAAAAGCGCGAAGAGGAAAAACGAATTATGGGACCCAAGGGTCCTATTTATAGGGGTGACGTAGAATACGAAACGTCACCCCGGGGAACCACGAACTTCCCCTCCTCGACGTCTACTCCCCCTAGGCAATGATGGCCCTACTCTCGCTAGGGTGGCGTCACGGTTCCCAAGGGTTGCCTCGTGTACCCAACGAACACAGCCCGCGAGGAATCCCTCGAGCACGCATCGACAAGGGTCACGCCACGTACGCAACTCACGAGAAAATTCTCGAGCAGTCACGAGGAAGCAAATATCCTGGGCCGGGCATCAGACCCTGTGGCAAAGGCGAGCTGAGGTCAAGCCATAACTCCTGCTCCAGGAGCCACGACTTGGGGGGCTCCTGTTCTGGACTGGGCCCGTACCTGGCCCAAAGGCGAGAACAAAGGCCCAATCCAAGCAACTCTTCGAAGAGCGCGCGCCCGGCCATAAACTGCAGTCGTGCCCGCCGTTGCCCGCGAACATAGTTGTCCTCAACCACGTGAACCCCAGCTCGAGCACCCTCCTCGTAGGGCAGACTCTGGCCGTTACCAAATCACCTGAACTCCGGAAAGACCGCGTCTTCGTCCCTCCTCATTTCTCGCAGAGCATCACCAGGAAGGAGACCACGTGCGGGTCCCCACTACACACGTAGAACCTGGCAGTTCCTTTATTGGGCCAGTTCTGGTCGGCCCAATGAAGGGACCTTGGCCTCGCGCTGGGGGCTATAAATACCCTCTGTTCCTTGAGGGTCAGATATTCATTCTCTTACCCATACATACACTTTTTTGCCTGCTCGTACCATCACTCACTTTAGCATCGGAGTACCTTGCAGGTACCCCCCATCTCACTCAACTTCCGCTCGGAGCCAGTCGTGATGGCCCAAGTCTGATCAGGTAAGATCAATTAGGAACTGTAATTCATTTCTTATAGGAAGATACAAGAGGGGAATTGTGAGATTATAAATAATTCATTCATATGAAGTTTGTTCAGTTTTCTAATTTCATTTTTAAAATTCTTTTCGGATTGTAGTTATAATAGGAGAGAGAAGAGGAAGGAGAAATAGGATTGTAATCGAATCTATTTGGAATAATTTTTGGTCAAAAAAAGTCTGAACCAATGATATTTCTATAGGTTTGATTTGGTTTGATTTTTAACATTTTTCAAAAATAAAATCGAACCATACTAACAAGTTTAGTTTGGTTTGCTTCAGTTTGATTGATCGGTTTATAATTTTTTCAAACATTATATTCATTAGTGTACTCTCCATTATCGTATTTTTTCGGAAAATAATACATTTCATGTAATTTATTTTATGCTCTATTTTTTCAAACAAATTACAAATTGCTCTTAGTTCATATGAAACAATAACATGATTTCTATTGCATAATGAAATAAGTTTACTCTTAAATATAAAAGTTAACATTTAGCACCAAAATATTAAAAAGAGATTTGAAAGTTTAACAAATAGAACATAATAAAACACACATCAATTAACATGTTTCATATCTCAAACAAACATAAAAATTAGGATTAATAGCTATTTTGTCCCCTATCATATAAGCGAGTTTTGAAAAATCTGTCGGTAAAAAAAATTAGATTTCGTCTCTAACATTTCAAGATTATATTGTTCTGCCCCCTATTAAAATTCAGTCATCAGAATCTTTAACGTGATAAGTATTTTTTTTTAATTTTTAATTATTTTAATGACATGGAATTGTTTAATTGACTTTTTTTCATTTTCTTATTTTTTTTAATAAATCAATTTTTGTTTTGCCCTGATTCCAAATATTTTTTTCCCACATTTGAAAATATGAATTCTCTTTTTCAACAAATATTTTTTCTGTAAAAAAATAAATTATGCATATCAGTAAAGACAAAATTTAGCAGAAACTCTCAATCAAAGTCCTATCTACATGATGCAAATGTATTTTCTCCCAAATTATAAAAAATCCAGATTAAACTTATTTTCTCCCAAATTAAGGACGGAGTTAAATCAATTATTTTCTTTTTTATCTTTCTTCTTCTTCTATCCCTTTCTTCAATCTAATTTTTCCTTTTTTTATCATTCTTCTTCTTTGATTTTTTCAAATCTATTTATTCCAAAATTAAAATCATTTTTTTCTTAATTTCATTTTTCTTCTAAGTTGGTCTAAAACCCTTAAAACACATATTTTCTATCTAACGTATTCATGAACTCTATTCTATTTTCCTTTCTTCTTCCCCTTTTTCATTAACCGGGATTCATGAAGCTAGATTAAATTTGTATGAACAAAGATGTTTATAGTGATGCTTTCATAATCAGTGGGGATTTTGCATCAAGCACCACTTCACCATTAGTTATGATTTCATGGAAGTTGTTGAAGGTTAGTGACAAGTTCAACGAGTAATTGAAATTCAGATTTGGAGCTTCTTAAATCTGCTTTTGCTTGAAGATATAAACCATTTCTAAAGAGTTTCTCTCAAACTTTTGAATTTGTGAATGTATTATGTCTCAATCTATAGTTTTTATTTTAAGTGCATTTGAAACTGGATCTCAATTATTTTTAATAGGTGTTTTTATATTTTGATTGAAAGAGCTGAAATTCTTGAAAGAATGTTTTAATGGGTATTTAAACAATATTTTAAACTCTTATTTTAATACTACTATGAAAAAAGCATTTATCAATGGTTGGAAAAGATATATAACTATGTGGGTCCAGACGTTGTTATGTAACGTATGGTTGTATATGTGATACTTACAATCATGGCCCAGTGACCGTCATAGTAATCTGGAAAGCACACGCCTTATAACAACTATTATTAATAATAACCGTTGTGATATAGTATTTGAATAAATGTCAAATTTTTATATCAGAATCAGCACTAAACCAATTTTTAATTGATATCAAAACTTATATTAATTACAAGTACACAATTCCATTAAGTAAATAATAAAATTTGAACATACGGAGAAATGCAATCTTTCCAACTTCTAAGAGAAAAGAAAGCGTATAGAATTAAAGAAACAATGATGAGCAGCTTTAGTTTTTAAACTTCCAAGATAAGAAGATGAAGAATCAGAAGGAACAACATAAAAGCAGAAGAACCAAGACACAAAAATAATGTTGAGAATTAACATGTATTATCCTGATCAAGCCACCAACAATGTTGAGAATCCAAATATTGTTGTAGAGGGCGTTGTGGTGCCAAACCAGCCTCAGAATCAAGATGTTGCTGTAGAGGTCGGTGTTGTGGTGCAAAACAATCCTTGGATTCAAGATGTTGTTGTAGAGAGTGTTATGATTAGACTAATGAGAGCTCTCAGAAGAAGAAGAAGGTTGAGAGGGCAAATGATGACTTTTTTGATTCTGATGATGTGAGACTGACTATGATTGGTCTAACTTTATCTCAGCAAGAGGATTTAGATTTGATTATAGTTTTTGATCATGTAATGAAAGTTTATGTAATGATGTTTTAATATTTCTGTTTAACTCTCTTAAGGTTATTCAACTTAAACCATCAACTTAACCTATCAACTTAAACTTAAAAATATATAAAACACATTATTATAACTGAAAATTATTGCGATGAACTTACTCGTAAGAAATGGTTCGTTAGTTACATATTCCTTCCACTATATCTTCGACTCTTACATTTCATAACAAAGTACAGAAAACATTAAACATAAAGGATATAAGATAACATAACATTTTCAAATTGCAAACCCTCACTACGCCAAAAATGATTTTTTGTATCACCTAATTTAATAGCACTTTTAAAAAAAATGCTATTAAAATGGAAAAAACACATTTATAATAGCACTTTTTAATCGGGCGCTATTATATAATACAGACTATGTAATTTTGATAGCACTTTGTACCAGAACGCTATTATTAAACTTCTTTTAGATAGCATTTTGTATAAAACGCTATTATTTGACTACCTATATAATAGCATTTATTAAAAAGCGCTATGTTATATATAATAATGAATTAATTAATTAATTGATAAAAAAAAAACACAATTAATCGATTCTTCTTTTCAATCCAAGCAGTACGGCGTCGCCGAACTCAAAACCCTAGGTAACGAACTACTCTCATCAGCCTCTAACATCAACAACCTCCCCCTTCTTCTCACCTTCGTCTCACCTTCTTCTCCACCTCAACACGTCCTTGAATCGCTTCTCTCTCTTCATTCTTTCTTCCTCCCTCTCCTCCCTCAACTACCTTCCTCCTCTGCCACTGCCAACACCTCCTCCTCCGACAACGCCGATGCCGACCAGTCTGAGTTCATTTACCTCACTTGGCTCCGTTCGAAGTTCGATGAGTTTCTTAAATCTCTGATAGATGTTCTTGTATCGGATCAATCTGATGAAACTCTGAAGGAAGTTGTGTTGGATACGTTGATGGAGTTTGTGAAGGTTGCTAATGGCGGCACCTTTCATTCTTCGTTGTATAACAGAATTATCAGTAGTATTGTAAGTTTCTCATTCTAATCGTAATTCTACTTTGTTATTTTTGTGCTCATAGTTTGATATATGATATTTTTGTTTTGTTTTGCTTCATCAGATTCACTCTGCTAGTTCTGCTGAATTTTTGATTGATTTACTAACATCAAAGTATTTCAAGTATATTGATGTCAGGTATGATTAATGAAGGGTTTTTCTTTGCAAGTTAAATTGATTCGTTTACTCTGTTTTATGAGTTTTTAACTATTGTTTAATTCTTGATTGCTGAACTATTTTGTCACTCGGTGTAGTTATTTTACATTCATAAGTCTAGAAAAGCTAGCTAGAAATTTGCAGGGGAAAGATGTTTCAGGTGATTTTCTAACTTAGCTTTTAATGTTCCAATTTTTGATTTGCAAAATTGCAGATAGGAGATTTATGTGTTCTGTTTCAATTTCTCTAAATATTTGGGTATTCTGATAGGGTAACTCCTTTTCTTATCTTTGTTATTAGATGATAAAACTGCAAGTGTAGATGGCAATGATGAAAGTCAATTGAGCTCAAAGTTAGTAAAATCTATAGACACTGGTTATTTCTACTCTTTGGTCTTAAGTGATTTGTATCTCGCATGTTTTATATACAAAAATGACTTCTATTTTTATCATAAAAAATATACGAAAATGACATGTAATGTCATACAATATGCTATACTATAAGCAATATATTTATCTTTTCAACTCAATGTATAATGAAAGAAAGCAGTTATAATTTTTCTGCCAGGCAAACTTGGTCTTAGTTTTGAAACTAGGAGATGGATAATTTACTTGTAAATGTACTTAATTTGTTCTATAATTCTAATTTTGATTTGAAAATGTATCTTTTGCAGTATTGAGGGTGTCATCCACAATATGTACTATGCCATTTCACATGTCCCCTTTCTTGAAAAACCTGATGATAAATCTGATTTTGAAATGTGGAGTGTATCAGGTGAATGCTTGCTTATCACTTTTAGGCTCTTAAGATTTTCTTTTTACAATGTTTTATTTCACTATTTAGTGCTTCTTCTCTTCATTTTTTCTTCAGTAATTTGCATAAAATACTACTTTTTAGATTAAGTAAAAAGTATCTAGGGACCCAATAAATGAGGGCTTTATGACTTTGAATGATCCATCTAGCCGATAGTGGGAATAGGCTTGGTTATTCTGGTTGTACGAAAAAATTGGTCTGTACATTTATATTTTGTAATCTGGTTTTCCGTAGAGAGTGATCATAAAGTGCTTTCTGGAGATCTGGATGATAAGCAGCTCAAGTCCAAGAAGCATAAAAGTAATGTAAGTATTATTATTCCATACTCATTTTTACTTTAATGTTGATCACATATTTTTTTCATTAATGAGGATGTTTTGTGTCCTTTTAATTGTAATTTTAGTCTCTGTTTAAATGAATATTTACTTATATTAAAAAATCTTTTCATTTCAGAACTGCTTTAATTATTTGTTGACATCTTCATTTTTCCTTATCCATCATATCTTCATGTTATGCATATAGGTATTGTCTGCAGCCAGATTTGCCAAGAAGATGAAGTTAAAATTTACCAAAGCTTGGATTGCGTATCTTAGATTGCCACTTCCACTTGATGTGTACTGAGGTTAAGGAGGATTGGGCTACTTATGTGGTGGATGATCTTTTACTACTTTGGGCTACGTGGATTGAGGCGTGACCATTCTAAGGCACTTTCGTGGTTCTTGAAGGCAGTGGAGAAGGGAGAGCCTCGCTCCATGGAGCTTCTCGGAGAGATATATGCCAGGGGAGCCGGTGTTGAGAGGAACTATACAAAAGCCTTTGAATGGCTTACTCTAGCATCTAAGCATCACCTCTACTCTGCTTATAATGGGATTGGTTATTTGTATGTCAAAGGCTATGGAGTCGACAGCAAAAATTACACTAAAGTATGATCATCTTTGCCTTTTTTGTGTTTGTATGGACTTCAAATTTTTGGGGAATGGAATGGGGACACACTTTATCGGTGGTATTGTGTGTCTATGTATGTCTATGCTTAATTTATGATATCTTTTTCTGAATTACAGGCAAAAGAGTATTTTGAAAAGGCTGCTGAAAATGACGAGGTTGGTGGCCATTATAACCTAGGTGTCATGTTTCTCAAGGGGATTGGAGTGAAAAGAGATGTGCGGTTGTCATGTAAATATTTTATAGTGGCTGCCAACAATGGTCAACCAAAGGCTTTCTACCAACTTGCAAAGATTTTTCATCTTGGTGTTGGCTTCAAGAAGAACGTTCCATTGGTAAGTTGATTCTTCGTTTGTCTTATTTTTAAATGCAAGTGCTGATTATAAGTTAATGATATAAATGGGAGTTTTCTGTTGCAATCTAGATATTCAAATCAGTATATTATTTGTATTAAGACTATGTTAAGTTGGGTTTTCTGTTCTACACTTAGGGATCCACGCTTTACCCTCGAAAGAAGGGAAACTTGTCGAATATCGAGGTAGTGTTGCATCGTCATATGGATGGGGAAACCACTGAATATGAAGAATTAAGAGCTGAAAACGGTGTTTTTTCGTTCTATTATTTATAGAGAATTCTAATTATAGATTCTTATCAGAAGTTCCTAAGTGGTTTATTTTATTCTAAAACTTTGTTATAGTCTCTCAAGGAGAGTTGAGGCTCAAGAGAGTTTGTCGGTAGCCATAGAGGTATATGCAGATTGTTGGCAACTTCAGTTCTCTCTGGTTTTTATGCTTATATTACTTGTATTAATTCAAAATGTTCATCCCTTCGCTGCTATTTATTGTCATTGCAGGCTCACAATAAGGAAGATATTGAAAAATTCAGTAAACGGACAGTGAAGGTTGGTCGTTGTTTCTTAGACATGTTTATTTTAGGACCTTTAATTTTTTTCTTCCGTATGATAGATTGAAGCAAGGTTTTGGTATTATATTGTTAAGGATATATTTCTATATTGTAGGTGACTAAAGAAAATAATCAAGCATGCCAAAAACTTTTAAAACTCATGGGAGTGCCCGTTGTTGAGGTAACATATTGCAATACTTCAATGAAATAATATATTGTACTATGTGTTAACCATTTGGCTAAGGCTTCAAATTCTCCAGGCACCCTCAGAAGCAGAGGCTCAGTGTGGTGCTCTTTGCAAAGTTGGAAAAGCAACTTCACATCTGCTGTTTGTCTCCTTCTTGAAATCTAAAATATGATAAAATTATCTAAGTTATAATCTTTTTCAAGCAGACTTCATGGAAACGAATAGAAAATTAAATGTTACTATATATTCTTACATCTTTTTATAAAACCATTTAAATTTCAAATATATTGTTTCTTTAATATTTTTTGCATTTGATAATTCTATATTTTTTAGTGTTGTTCTTAACAAGTATGGAACCAGGATTCACAATTTCATTCTCATTTATTGCTTTTGTTTTTTTTTTATGTCTACCATCAATTTAAAGCCTCTACCGGAGAGGATAGAAATGGTTTGTGTTAGCGTCGGTGATGTGAAGAAGTTGTTGAAAGTGATGCAGATGGAATCGATGAAAGCGAGGTTGAGAGGTTCTTGTGATCTTATATTCTCTTTCTTTCTTTCTTTCTTTTAAGTACCTCCCTGTGGCATCAGCTTTCATAACTGATAGTTTCACAATAACTTCCGTCAATCTTCATCAAGGTATTTAACTTTGTTTTTCTTCCATCTGAATTAAATTTCCTTGTCGTTGTATTCACCTGCAGGTCATTATTTTGATAGAGGGGGTTTTATGTCAGCTTCACCTTTTTCTGCTGCTGTTAATGCTTCATCTGTTGGGTTTACAAATAGTTCTAGGGGCAATGGTGGAGTGCTTCCTGCACGGACGGATCCTTGTATGGCTCGCTCAGTTAGTGTACATGGTTGCTCTCAGATGCAGGGCCAGTCGTCAGTTCCTGCCCGAGGTTGTTATGCTATACTACTATATATTATATCCCTTGATCGAATTTTACCTTATCTAGTTCTGAGTTTTAATTTCAATGTATTCTTTAGTTTAGTTATGCTTGAGCTTGAGAAATGTCTTTGTCTGTGTATATGTAATCCCTGAGATCACATGTTTCAGTTAAATAAGTTCATATATTATATCCCTTGATCGAATTTTACCTTATCTAGTTTTGAGTTGTGATTTTGATGTAGTTTGTTAGTTAAGCTATGCTTGAGCTTGAGAAATGTCTTTGTCTGTGTGCAATCAATACTAGGGTAGTAAGATCACATGTTTCATCTAAATGAGTTCATCAACCTTCTTTTCTGAACTCTTCATACTTTGTCATTCTTCTTTAACTACTGCTGCACAGTGTTGTGGATGTAACTCTTGGTTTCTTAAGATGACCCAAATGATGATTACATTGATGGTTTAGAATTTGAATATGCTGTGATAAAAAAACAACACTGTTACTGCATTCAGTAAAGCAGAGTCTTATGTTGAAAATCGGACAGCTCACATTCTGAGCTTGTGCTTCGAATCTGATTTGATGAAGTCAGAATGTGAGCTATTGGATCTATGGTAAGCATTTAGATTTGCTGACTGCGTTGGTTATTGACTGCAGTAAATCCGTGTCTTTAAAATATTGTGCATAATGATATTATAACTACTTAGATGACATATCATACTAGTATTGTGTCATTTTGAAATAAAACTTTTATGCACATGATATAACCTTCTTTTTTTTTCCTTTTCACATTGTTTCCAATTTACAGAGGAAAAGTTCGATAGTTTCAAGGATGCAGGCACCAATGTATCTCCTGCTGTTTCAAGGAGGGACATGGCTACCCAGATGAGCCCAGAGGGAAGTTCATGCTCCCAATAGGAGGACTTCTTTCTCTGCTTCCACACCCCCTGCCATGCCTGTCACTGAGTTGCAGAGTGCCTCTCTCTCTAAAATGGATATCAGGGATGTGCAGGTAGATGAACGTGTAACAATGACAAGGTGGTCCAAGAAACACAGGGCTTTATTTTGTTTAGAGAATTTGATTGTATGTTTTTGGATTTGGATTGAAGTACTCATAGATGGGCATCTACAAATTTGGCTATGTGTTATGATATTTGGAAACAATAGGATTTGGTAATTTAAAATGTTATTTGGTATTTGATGGATCATAATATATATGCAATGAGTAACTTAAAGCGTTATTTGTGTTGAATTGAATATAGTTATTTTATATTTACACCCAAAAAAATGATTGTGTAAGAAAAAATATTGTACTGTACTTATTAAAAATATTGTACCAAATATGTACCATTTAGGCCTAATTCAACTATTACATTTTATAACAAAGTAAATATTAAACAAAAAGGAGATAAGAAAACATAACATCTTCAAATTTCCAGAAAACCTCTCTGACTTCAGTTTGTTCTTCAAATTCTTGTTCTTATTTTTTTAAATATGTATACATAACCTTCAAATACTTAACAAAATCCAACTTTGGCATCATAATACTCTCATCTTCCAATTTTTGTTCATCATCTCATATGAACAAATTACATGTTTCACCAGTCCACCAATTTGGACATCTCCAAAAAAGCCTTCCTTTATTTTGGCCTCTCTTGCATAGGAATGAAACCATACGACAATCACAAGCACGAAAATTTCCAGATCGAGATTTTACACCCTTGGAATGATACATTGAGACGATTATGGATAACAATAATGAGTGTTATGGTTGTTTTCTTCTTCCCGACGGTGTTGGCGTTAGGGTTTATTTCTTTTATCAGTGGAATAATGGGTACTTAGTATTTAATATATACAAAGAATCGCCAGTGTGTAACAACGGTTGTTCAAAAAAGTCGTAGTGATATATCTATTATTTTTTATTATATATAAATGTAATTAAAAATGTGTGCATTAAAGTAAAAGGGATAAACTATTTGAGGAAGCTGAGGATCGGACCCAAGAAAGCTGGACTGTATCACCACGGTTGGGGAGTTAACCGTAATTGTAAACTTAAATTTTCAATTAAAAAAATGAAAATAAATGGTTAGCGTATCAGTTCGGCAGTATCACTACGGTTTTGGGGCAAACCATGGTGACTTTGGCGTTGTAGTTTACGCGTTTTGTAGTAGTGTAACTGAAAAAGATTTATCTCAGTTCCAGAGATTATTTAATGGAGTTTAGTACGATAAATATGGTGATGGATAATGATATAAAAATAATTAGGGACATAATTTAATGATAAGAAAATGAAAACAAAGCCAAGTAAGTAGTTCCATATCATTAAAAATAATTAAAAATTAAAAAAATGCTTGCCACGCCATAGATTATGGTGACTGGATTTCAACAGGGGGCAAAACAATGGAATCTTGAAATGTTAGGGGAGAAATCTAATTTTTTTTTAGGGGGGGGGGGGGGGGGGGGGGTGGGGAGGGGGGGTGTTTCAAAATCCACCTATATGGCAGGGGGAAATAACTATTAACCCTAAAAACTATTTTGTAACAAGACTAAAATGAATTTTATTGAAGAAGAAGAAACAAAAAAGATAAAAAATAATGAAAGTTAACAAAGAGAACTTGAACACGAAGAAGATGACTATAACATATCAGAATGAGAGTAGTGAGAGAAACAATGATGGAGAGCAACAGGAGCAGTGGTTCAAAGAAAGCAAGTTTTTTGTGACTTAGGGTTTCTACTTTCTATGTTTTGGAGATTGATTCTAGATGCATGTTTTGCTTAAATGAAAGAAGTGTAAACAAAGATGGAGAATGGTTGGACTGATAAAAAATTTGGGCTTAATGATGGGCAAAATAAAAGATTTAGAGCGTAATTATTTCCATTGGTTGAGCTCATCGATTTGGCGGTTCCTAAAAACTAAAACCAAAAATTGAACCAAACCAAATCGATTTTTATTAGTTAAGTTTGATTTTAGAACCAAACCAGAAACAATCAGTTTTATTTCAGTTTGAATTGTCGGTTTAATTTGATTTTTCTTATCCGGTTACACCCCTAAGGAGAAGACATAGAAAATTAATTGCGTGACCATTTCTTCCTGCTCTCAATTTACTTTACAATAAATTTGAACCTTTCATCTGATCTTATGGTGTAAACAATTGGGTTCATAGGTGAGGGACTCTCAATTAAGCCCTCACCCTAAAATTTGCCGATTTTTTTAAGTTAATATTTTTTTAATAAAATTATATAATATTATATAAATTGATCTTACCGGTTGATCAGAACCCGAGGTGGGCCAGAGACTTCGTCTTCAATGCTGAGATCCAAGGAGAAAAGGGGGTTGTACCTGCAAGGCACTCTAATGATTAAGTTAGTAGGAGCATAAATACCTTTAAGTGTTTGTTAGGGTTAAAAATTGAATACATGAGCCTCTCAAATGAGAGGATTTTTATATTCCCCTAGCGTTTGGCCATTAGTCCATATTTTGGCCTAGATTAGGGTTTTAGGCCCAAAATATACGACTGCCAGGAATCAGGGTGTCAAACAAGGGATTCTAGAAGGCTGTCTGAAACTAGCCGTTGGGCGGGGCAAATATGTACTTCTAGGCGCCAATGGAGCCCAGCGGGCAGGTGTCCATTTGTCCCCGACTGAGGGGCAAAACTGATAGTTGGTGTCAGCGGAGGTGGAGTCCTAGCCTAGTACAATGATGGTTTACTGGTCCTCTGGCCAGGTGAGGGAGTGTCCCCTACGGAGGGGCGGGAGGAGAAATGCTTCCCTTTACCCCAAACTAGTTAGGCCAAGGCTATTGGACCGTTCTGGGTGCAGAAGTGGATTGGGCCATGTCTAGCCATTGGGGCAGTCCAGAAAAATAAATTATTTCTAAAAATGCTCAACAAACATACTCTTAATCATATTAATCTTAGGCTAATTAATTAGCTAAGATTTATGGGGTCAATTATTCTTTTATGTTTATACTATAGAAGGGATGGGAGCACGGTTAAATTATAATTCTTTTGTGTCGAAACTATGTGTGTGTCGAAGTGTTTGTAGTTATCGAAGTGTTGTAAGCAGGTTGCTACACACAAATTTGATTTAGATCCAAAATAGGTATTTTGGGCTTTTGTAGTTTTGGACTTTATTTGGCTTAGGGAGGAAGCTAACCTAAAACTATAAATAGAGGGAGTAACCCTTATTCTTGTAATTTAAATTGTATTTACAGTATTTGCAGTTGCAAGTAAATACAAATTTTTCCATAATTTGTGGGTAGAGAGAAACTCTACAGAAACCCTAATCCTTTTCTTCTTTAAATTTCATTTTCTCTTTTCATCATTATTGAGTGAGTGATAACAATCTTGTTCATCAAGATTGATAGAAATTCATCATAGGTTTTAATGGATTTCCAACATCTGGTATCAGGATCTCCGGTTGATCGATTCAAGGGAAAAAGAATAAATCATTATGGCGGTGAATTATGGGAATGGAAATTATCCAGCAAGTATTCCAATTCCAAAAGTAGACAACTATGAGAATGGGTGCATACAGATGATGGTTTTACTCAGGTGCCAAAG